TAAAGTGAGTTTTTGTCAACGTTCAACTTATTTAATTAAAGGCTGAAACGCAATTCCGGGCTTAAAATAAAACAAAAATATTGACATTTAGACAGGAAAATTGCTTTTAAAAACGGAAAATAATAAAAGCGAAAAACAAAATTTGAAAATGATATAAAACAAACAAGCTGGAAAGGCGGCAGCCAGAGACACATTTTATTAAAAGCAATTTCATGTACGCAGGTGCCAAACAAACAACAAAAGAGCCAAAAGTGTTAGTCAAAAAGATGGCCGCACTAAACTTAGCATATTTTGCGGCGCAACGCAATTAAAAATGACGCAAATGCGTAAATTGTTTGCGACGTTGCTTTTGTTTTAATGGCGTACCTTTTTGTAATTGAGTATGCATATGTGCGGTTTTTGTTGTTTTCTTTTTATTTGCTTTGAAACCTCATAACTGTGTGCAATGGTTGTAGTTGTAATGAACGCCTGGATGTATACTTTAATTTTTTGGGGCGCCTTTTGTTGTGAGACAAATTAAAATGCAATTAAATGCTAAAAAATGCAAACAAAATGTCAAAACGCTAATTGAAAAGCAAATATTTATTTCAGTCTTATTACTTTTTAATTAAATAYGCATGAAAGTATGAATCTAATTAGCTTATGTGAAACAAAGAATGCAATTTTTTTACTAAATCAAGACACTACTTATTTTTGAATATGGACTATAACCCTGAAACGAAGGAGATTCTAGAATGGATGTATAAATTGGATGTATAAATTGTGGCGAACAAGTAACCGGAAATTATAATTAAGTCGCCCGCTTAAATGAAGTTTAAAAAGGATGTACTTTGCTAAGTTGAGAGCACAGTTAAATGAATCGCTAAAGTTTAAATTGCAATTTTAACTCAGGTAGTATTTCCAGCAAACAAGAGCTCTATCAAATTTCCCCATACTATCTTACATTCTTGTATTGTAACTTCCACAAAGTTCTTAAATATCGGGTTTAATGTAGTATAAATAAAATGTAGTATACTTTACCTTAATAGCTCAAAGGGGCATGAAGCAAATACTGACAGTCATGACCGCTCATAAAGTTGATTTGCGGTTAATCATACGGCTCAGTGACTTTTGAAACTGACAAGTTTTATTGTGGTTGAACAATATCTGCATTAATGAATGTTTTCTCTGCATGTACTGTATGATATGAGTGAAGAGAACAGGGGGTGTTTATTAACAAAAACATACCAATTTCGATTAAAGCAAATTTTGTAGTCTGAAACGGAAAAGATGGGCTTGGACGATTTTCAGTTTCAAATAGCTGACACGCCATTTTCAGTCATCTCGCCGAAGTCAATAAGCTCTGGAATTGGAATGGGTCATGCTTTGTGATGCAAATAATATTTTCTGAATCGCAGCTGTTCTAGAAACAAAGCCAGACTTTGTAATAAAGGTTTCCGAAAACAGATCTGAGGTGTCATCTAGATTTCGAAATTGTGTTCATCTTACCAGGATGTATAGGTGACTGAGGTGATCTAATGTATTAACACAGCAAGACCGTTGCTCTAGCAGAATTTTTAACCGTCTTGAAAACATGTAAAAAGAAATGTTTTTTTTTAGGTCTGAAGGAATAACTTTGATTCAATTTTCCTTTATGTTCTGACCATGAACTTTGTGCGTTTAAGTCAGTTTCAACTTATTTTCCAGCCAGTTCGCTTATATTTCTTAAGTTTAAATTTGAGGTATGCAGWATTTCTTAGTAGATATTATGTTTATATTTATAATACATCCCGAATCACTTTACGAAGGTAATATGTACACCTTCAAGTGTGTCTGTGTGCATAGTGAGTATGAGTGGCTCTTGAATCACTGTTGGAGGCTATGTCGAGTTTTTTTTACGAATTTAGTGTCAAAGCCTTAATATATCCACATAGATATGTAAGGAGGTTGGTTTGAAATCAGAAACATACTTAGTCGGAGATTTGGCATAGTCTGCTTATTCCTCTATAACGATTGTACCGAAATATGAGAACTCACATACTTCTAAACCACTTTATATATCAACATTTTTTTAAATTAAAAAAAAAATTTTTTTTTTTTTAATTTTCAACGTTTTAATTTAATGCTTATCTACTCGTAATATCGCCAGCTTAAAGTGTTATTTCGTTGTTCTCTCTTGCAGTCTCTCGAGTTTAAGATAGTTTCTCTTTGTTCGTTTGTAAACGACGCTCCGTTGCAAGACAACTGCACAGCCATCTGATAAGTTTCTCTCTTGGATCAACTTAAATTTTAAAGAAGAGTGATTTTATCGTAATAACGTTATATATATATCATATATTATACCAAGTCAAATAACGGTATATACCACAAGTAGTGTCCCTGACGCACTGTAAGAGCASACTRKCCRAACGCTTTGGTAGAATTATATTTAAAGTAGGGAGAGAAACCTCAGATCGGTACTTAATATGAGCGCCAGTCCTTGATTACTTAAACGATTCTGCTCTGCTTCGGTCATACATTGAACACCATGTAATTTCAATTCGTAAACTCTCACATGTTTGCTAATTTATTACGCCTCTTTTTCAATTACTGTGACTCTAAGCTTGCGGCAGTAGTGAGTTCGGTGCGCAGTGTTCGAATGCCGCGGATGAAAGCCTTGCAGCGGGCATAAACAATTTTTATTAGCACTTAAAATAATAATATTTACTGATTTGGCTTTTATTGCGCCAAACAGTTCCTCTCCTATATGTATATATGAGTGAATATATTGGTATGTAAGCTTCTCTTTAGTCATGACTTTCTTTCCTTGCAGCTAAACGTCCACCTGTTGAGGAGACCGCCTCCTTTCTGCAAAGTCTTATCGCCTCGCATGGTCCCAATTACTTGGAGAAGCTGTTCGGCAGTAAGGCTCGCGACGCACTGGCTCCGTTGGGTGGCGTGGAGAAGGTTGCCATAGCCCTGAGCGAATCACAGACGATTGAAGATTTTGGCGCCGCATTGCATTTGATGAGGTAAGTAATTGAGYGAAAGTAAGGGCAGACAGAAAGACGAATAAAATTCAGTAAGTCAACACCGAATAAGCGTATATATATTATTGTATATGCGAGGTATACAGATATACCGTATATATGAGCAGAAACGTGTTGTGGTAACCAAAATTCTGCAAATACATTTGGCGAGAATATTCAATTATGCTGTGCTTTCCTAATCACTTTTATGTCCACCAACAACYGCACATATGTATTTCATGCACGAAATACAAGTATGTATATCGACGTTTCACTTTTGCTGCAATTTAAATTCACTTTGATCTAATATTGCTWTTAATAAAAATTTGAATACTTTGATAAATTATAATGGTGCAGTGCTCTCAATCATACAAACGGAAAAATGTTTGTGTAAATAAAGAATTCTCAGAAAACTCAGCTTGTGTTCGAATTACGTCCGTTGATTATATTAGGTTGTCAAAAAAGTCTTGCGGTATTTTCGCTAGTTGGCGCTGAGAGCGCGTAGTTCTAGTTTTATTCGTCGCATCGGGTCATTCTATACCTTTTTGGAAAGCTCATTTCACGCGCTAACACGATTGATTTTCGCTTCTTTTAAGTCGTTCGTGCGTTATAGAGTCGCAAATATGGAGCAAAATAAAGAGAAAATTCGGCATATTTTAGGGTACTACTACGATAAAGGCAAAAATGCATCTCAAGCCACGAATAAAATTTGTGCAGTTCATGGACCCAATACAGTTTCCATTTCCACCGCACAACGGTGGTTTCAACGTTTTCGTTCTGGTGTAGAGGTGGTCGAAGATGCGCCACGCTCCGGAAGGCCTAACGTCGAAAATTGCGATAAAATCGCTGAATTGGTCGAAAGAGACCGGGATAGTAGCAGCCGTAGCATCGGTCAAGAACTGGGCATGAGTCATCAAAACCAATTTTATGAACAATTGAAAATTCAATAAAAAATACCGCAAGAAATGCCGAAAGACTTTTTTGACAACCCATTATTTAAAGAATRTTCATGCCAAATTTCAAATAAATCGACTGATTAGAACTTGAGCTATTGTGGCTACCGCATCAAAAAAGGAGTTTTGAGAAAAACGCGTTTAAAGCTTTACGTTAAGTTTCGGGCAGCTAATATATAGATAGATAGTTCGCTCAAGCGGTCTAGTTGCCATGTCACTAAAATGACTATAGCTTTGAAAATCCTTTTAGGGAGATATTTTTGAATATCAAAACTATCGAATTATGGAAAAAATATTCGATTTTTTTAAATTTCTAGACTAGAATACCCCTTAATAAAACAGACGGCTACCACTACCAGTTATCTTCCAATAAGTAAAATTTGCCTAGTAATTAGCATGATAAGTACTAACGTAATTACTCTTCGCATTTCTCACTATAGCATAGAACAGCAAGTTCACGTTGCTACAAAACATTTTTCACCCAATCATATGTTTACCGTACTGATCCCAGATGATAGTCGGATTTTTATACTTAAAGCAAAAACGACGCATTTTTTATTTAATTTCCCATATATGACGTACTGATACTGATATCATACTGACCTTACCTAAAACGAGTTGGAAGTTCAGTATTGTGATACACCCTAAAAATAATCTTCAATGTTCAAGTTTTGGTGATATTTTTGTGTTTTAACATATATTTCCTCCTTTTGCAAAGCAATGGAATATGATATACATATAACGTTTCTATTTCTCATGTAAATCGGTCGCTGGGTAAACTTTGCCAATGATATTTAACATTAAATTACGCAACCAGAACAACAAAACAAACAAATTTTTCTCAGCAAATATTAACTCAAAGGTCAGCATTTTTTTATAAAAATATATTTACGAATGACCGCACCCAATGCCTATCAAAATAGCACACGTTTTCATTACCATCCAATGTAATAAGAAAATTCCAATATAATAAAATAAATTGCGATATTATCTGAAAAAGGTCATTCGACTCCGGTTTATTAAAATTTATTGAAGAGAGCTGCTTTGGCAGCCCGCAGGCTTTGCGACGCGACTTTACGTACAAGTTTTTTGTTATTTTGTCTGATACGTAGACAAAAAATGCTACATTAAAGGCAGAGGAGAGAAATGTCAAATTATTATCTTTTGACTTTCTAAAAAGGTAACGGTAAACGAAAAATATCTTGCRGTTATTTACTGCTTATTATTAAATATGACCCTGGTATACGTGAAATTGATAAATTGTAATACAAGAATTCTTAAACTCATACATCAACAGTATAACTGTACTCGGGCGGTGCAGTTATTTTTTAATACTAAAAGGTAATCCATTTCGAGATTCCCTATTTTTTAAAGAAAAAACACAGATACTTCATATTTAATTGGGAATGTTTATTATCATTAAAAAAAGCTTTCTTTGGCATTTATTTTTTGAAGATTATCTCTTTGAAATCTTGGCCGCGGCTACGTCTCAGGTCGTCCATCCGCTGAGTCCAATTTTCGGTGAATCGAGCGAGCATTTCGACTGGTAATTGGCGAATGTCATACATGATGTTTTGAAGCTTGACTTTATGTATCCCCACAGGAAAAAGCCCAACTATGTATCATCACAAGAAAAGCTCTAACTGTGTAATATCACACGGTCTTGGTGCCCAATCGATCGGCCCTAAACGTGAAAATATCTGCTCACCGAAGTGCTCTCTCAATCCGTTGAATGATGCGGTGTGTGGGCAGTGGCTTCTTCTTCCTGAAACCAAATGTCGCCGAGATCACGAACTTCAATTTCCAGCATCAAATAGTCGCTTATCACCGGTATCATTTTTGAAGAAATATGGACCGATGATTCCGCCGCCAGACAAACCCCTCGAATCTCTTCAGGTTGCTTCGTCCAAAATGTGGYAATTTTAGCTCGAAAACGTCGAGTTTTCTAGGAACTTTTCAATAGCACAATTTTTATCGATTTCAAATTAAGTTTACTAACACATGTTACTTATTCACGAAGAGCTCTAAGGGAACCTTACATTTTTAAGTTTTTAAGGTTTTTTTTTATAATTTTTTAAGTTATTGTCTTGTCATACTGTGGCGATATCTGATTCGTTATCTTGCAATTGTTTACAGATCTCCATTTGCTATTAGCTATTTGATTAAAATGAGTCTCTTTTATTAACTCTCAGCGGACACGGTATTAGCTTGGCTTCAAATTTGTTTAAAAAAATTAATCTGTGGTGTCGACAAAGCCAGCAATGCCGCCTGGCTATCTGATTACAAGGTTGCTTTCTGTATTTCTCCACAGTTATTCAATATAGTTTGGTGGACGGACAGACAGACCGYCACCTGTAAATACGCGTGCCCAGTCGTCCATAAAATTATATATAAAGGGTGTTTTTTGGACATGTTTATTTTTYCATTTTATTTTATAGAAAATAGCTTTATTATAAAGATGAGAGATTTTCCCCCGCGGCTGGCAGTCCAAAAGRCTCAATTTTCTACCAATTTTTGCAGCATTCCATGCCATAAGTCGGGAATAACGTTTTTCGGGCTTAGTTGCGTAGACAAAACTTTCTTCAGACTGCACAGAGCAACACAAAAATAGTACAGCTGTGTGTAGCCTGACGATCTTGGAGGCCATGCTGCTGAGCTTGCAAAGCGAGATGCTGCTCACATCAAAAATTTCCTTCAATAAATTGATWGYTTCGTKKGCTGTATAGCACATATCAAAYATTCTATCTATATTTATCAYGATCTCAGAATAATATGTAAACCCTGCGTTTAATATCTCATCGAAKTAATTGCCAAATCTCCGTAATAAATATTAGCACCTCCACGAAATGCATTGTTTATGGCACAAATCCAGTGGTTCCACTCTTTGCCGTACATGTTCTGCCCATACTTAACTTTCAGGCCAGTTTCCTCTTCCGCYTTGTCAATTTCATAATTATTTTGCAATCCGATTTACTCATTAACAYTTATTGTCAAACTCTAGCATTACTTATGGCACCAAGATAAAAAAAAAAAAAAAAATTGTAATTTGTCAGGATAAAATTTCCAAAAATGTTTTTTCTGCATTTTTTTATGAGTGCCTTATTATTTTAAACTATTTTGGTTGTTAAATTGATTGGATGTATAGCTAAAAGAATGAAAAGTGTTTTTAWTATGATTTACATCTAAACCGAGAATTAAAAAAATATACTCCAACTACAAAAGCATAATAAATGTGCGTTTAATATTTATTTTCGGATATTGAACAAATATATTAAAGCACAATATCGCCAGCCATTTATTACACGGCGATGGCGTACTTAATTGTAATGTGTAATAAAATTTTATTTTAATTAACCACAATATACAACCACGCGCTGCATATAATAAATGGATGAGATATGAGCCAGATTCGGGACCGCTGGGAGAGAAAGTGTCACCTGCTGTGAATAATTGTACCTTGCATGGTCAGCGGCGTTTGYTTTACCGAGATTTACTTATATTTTGGATAAAACATACGCGAGTATGTATATATAATATACATATATGCATTTGCCTTACAAAGCACATGCGCGTTTAATTCCATAGTACATATATGAGTCTATATACTACAACATCTGTTTTCATTATCCCACAATATATTCTGGTAATGTGAATTAAGTAATTAAGTTGTATGTGAACGATTCAATTTGATTGCACATGACGAGTTTGTTCCTTGGACATTTTTCTCATAGAGACACAATTCATGGCCCAAACGGCAATGAGACATAAAAAATGCGAATAAGCAAGAAATATGGARTCGCTGTGGCAATTACTCGTATCAAGATTTTCGTAAGTATCTAGCGCTCGGCCTTGAATATGACAATGAAATTACCAGTTAAATTAATGAACCCATAATTGATGCCAAATTCTACTGACAAGTTAAGTTCAAAAGCGAACTAAATAAATTAGAAATTGTAGTTTCTTAAAAGCAAAAGTATGACGACCTTCATAAATCGTGTCTAATTGTGTTGTGTGGTTTAAAGCTGAGTTAAAAAGAAATAACAMATCTTC